CAGGCTGGATTCTCTGCACAAGGACACTTTCCTGGGGAGTGAGTGGGCTGAAATCCCTCCCGTGTCCTCGCCTCCAGCCGCATACCTGCCCAGAGGGCAGAGTACCTCTTGCAGATCCACACACAAGCCTGCACGGGTGGGTGGGGGCCCTGGAGCCCAGACGGGCACCCAAGGAATCTTGCAGCCCTACACGGTGAGGACAGAGGACTGGCAGTGTTCCACCTGTTGGCTCCTCTCCCTTCTGACCTTCCCACTGGAATCCTTCCAATACATGAACCATTGGCACAAAGAAATTGAAGTGGGTTTTTCCACTGCTACCCTCACCCTCTAGGATTCCATTGTCCTTTTTTTTTTTTTTTTTTTTTTTATTGGGACAGGGTCTTGCTCCGTTGCCCAGGCTGGAGTGCAGTGGCATGATCAACACTCACTGCAGCCTGGAACTCCTGGGCTCCAGGGATTCTCCTGCCTCAGCCTCCCAATTGGCTGGGACTACAGGCTCACACCACCATGCCTGACTAATTATTTTTTTCTTTTGTAGAGATGGGGCCTTGTTAGGTTGTCCAGACTGGTCTTGAACTGCTGGAGCCAAGTGATCTTCCCGCCATAACCCTAACCCTAACCGAAAGTGCTGCGATTACAGGCAAGAGCCAATGTGCCCGGCCAGACTCCACGGTCTCTTACCTGGACTGGGGCGATGGTCCCACCCATGCCCTCAGAACTTTGTTTATGGCTCACCCACGAAAAAGAAACTCCCAGAAGGAAGGGACCGTGTCTGGAGCGCTCCACCTCCAAGCCCCAGACTGCAGGTATCCCTTGCTGGCTGAGCTGAGGCCAGCAGGGCAAAGTCCATTCCTGCCGCCTGGACTAAGGCCTTGGTCCTCTCGAAAGAAGCCATGCTGAGAAGCGGGCTCATCCCGTCACACCACCAGAATCCCAGGAAGCCAGGGATGTGGGTGTCAAACGGTCCCGGAGAAGATGATGGGAAATTTCACGTGGAGAAGAAAATGCCCAAGAATGAGCGAAGCTGTCTGCAAGGACCCTCGAAGGGAGCTGGCAGGTGCACTAGGTATGGCGAGATGCAAAGCGAGGCTCACGGCATCGTTCCCTGGAAGGACCAGTGCAGAGGAGACCTCAGATGTCTGCTCGTTTAGCGGGAGTACGGCAGTGCGATCATGGGGGAAAGGCTGTGCGTGACAAATGGTATGGAGGAGACTGACAGTGGGAAAGGAGCTGGGCACGGTGGCTCACGCCTGCCATCCCAGCACTTTGGGAGGCTGAGGTGGGCGGATTGATGGAGCCCAGGAGTTGGAGACCAGCCTGGGGAACATGGTGAAACCCCATCTCTAGAAAAAAATTTAAAAATTAGCAGGGCGTGGTGGCACCCACCTGTAGTCCTAGTAACCTGGGAGGCTGAGGCAAGAGGATCAATTCAGCCCGGGGGGTTGAGGCTGCAGTGAGCTCACTGCCCCTTTACGCTCCAGCCTGGGCCTTTCTCAGAACAAACAAACAGGCTACGCGTGGTGGCTCACGCCTGTGATCCCAGCACTTTGGGAGGCCGAGGCGGGCGGATCACTTGAGGTCAGGAGTTCAAAAGCAGCCTGGCCAACATGGTGAAACCCCATCTCTACTAAAAATACAAAAATCAGCTGGGCGTGGTGGCATGTGCCTGTAGTCCCACTACTCCGGGGGATGAGGTGGGAGAATTGCTTGAAGCAAGACTCCATCTGAAAAATAAATAAATAAAATTGAACAAACACATGCCACATGACACCACGTATTTCACAAGGATCTGTAGAAATGGAAGGTCCTAAGCACCACAGCGCCTTTGGGAGGGAGGGGAACAAGACTAGGAAACCGGGAGAAGGAAACAGCAAAAAGCTCCTGTTCTCCCAGCCAATTTTCAGACACCTAAAAAGTTGTTAGCCCAAACGGTGCTGGTGAGGCTGTAAACACTGAGGTACAGTGTGGGGAAGGGACAGTATCAAAAGTAGGGTCTTTTAGGGAGGCAGTTCCCTAGTGTCTATTACAATTTTAAATGCAGGCCACAGAAAGTGGCACACATCTGTAATCCCAGCACTTTGAGAGGCCGAGGCGGGAGGATCGCTTGAGCCCAGGGGTTCAAGACCTGCCTGGGCAACACAGTGAGACCCTGTTTCTAAAAAAGCCAGGGGTGGTGGCACACACTTGTGGTCCCAGCTACTCAGGAGGCTGAAGTAGGAAGATCACTTGAGCCCAGGAGGTTGAGGCGGCGGTCAGCGGTGATATAGCCACTCCACTCCAGTCTGGGCCACAGAGTGATACCCTGTCTCAAAAAAAAAAAAAAAAAAAAAAGTATGTACATATATCTGGACCCAGCAATTCCACTCCCAGGTAATTATCCTAGAGAGAGATGGATGCATGTTCAAGGCTGTGTTCATAGTAGATGGAAGGTAGGAATAATAATGCTTTAAAAGTACATCAAATGGGGGCCAGGTGCAGTGGCGCACTCCTGTAATCCCAGCTACGCATGAGGCTGAGGCAGGAGAATCCGCTGAACCCGGGAGGCAGAGATTGCAGTGAGCCGAGATTGCGCCATTGCACTCCATCCAGCCTGGGCAATGAGAGCGAAACTCTGCTCTAAAAATTTTTGTTGTTGCTGTTAAAATAAAAGTACATCAGGGGGCTGGGTACGGTGGCTGAAGCCTGTAATCCCAGCACTTTGGGAGGCCGAGGTGGGTGGATCACGAGGTCAAGAGATCGAGACCATCCTGGTCAACATGGTGAAACCCTGTCTCTACTAAAATACAAAATATTAGCTGGGCGTGGTAGCGCGTGCCTGTAATCTCAGCTACTCAGGAGGCTGAGGCAGGAGAATTGCCTGAACCCAGGAGGCGGAGGTTGTGGTGAGCCGAGATCGCACCATTGCACTCCAGCCTGGGTAACAAGAGCGAAACTCCGTCTCAAAAACAAACAAACAAACAAACAAAAACCAAAACAAAAAAAAAAAACCACGATGTTCAAACTGATTTACCACTGAAAGAAGATGTATGAAAATGTATTTTGACCACACTTAGCATTAGGCAGGTTTACAGATAAGATTTTCCATTCTTTTTTTTTTTTTTTTTTGAGACAGAGTTTCGCTCTTGTTGCCCAGGCTGGAGTGCAATGGCGCGATCTCGGCTCACTGCAACCTCTGCCTCCTGGGTTCAGGCAATTCTCCTGCCTCAGCCTCCTGAGTAGCTGGGATTACAGGCACGCGCCACCATGCCCAGCTAATTTTTTGTATTTTTAGTAGAGACAGGGTTTCACCATGTTGATCAGGATGGTCTTGATCTCTTGACCTCGTGATCCACCCGCCTCGGCCTCCCAAAGATTTTCCATTCTTAACATTCTCACTGTAATGCACTACATTGGAAGCACCTGGATGTGCTATCAAATGGGAAATTTAGCACCATACATTGGAAGCATTGAAACACATTAGTCTTTCATTTCCATTTTTCCCCTCCATTCTTCCTCCTGCCCCACAATATGTTATTCATCTGGTTTTAATGCTACATAAATATGCATTGTCTCATGCCTGTTTGTGTTGGATGCCTTGTGCTAAGCTGTAACAAAATGTTGCTTCTTTTGCTATCTGTATACAGCTGCTTGCTTTAAATTAGTAGATTCTGAAATAGCTTTCCTTGCATGTCTAAAATAAAAGTATTGCATGTAAATAAAAAAAAAAAAAGTACATCAGGCTGGGCACTGTGGCTCATGCCTGTAATCCCAGCACTTTGGGAGGCCAAGGTGGGCGGATCACCTGAGGTCGGGAGTTCGAGACCAGCCTGACCAACATGGTGAAACCCCATCTCTACGGAAAATACAAAAAAAAAAAAATTAGTGGGGTGTGGTGGCACATGCCTGTAATCCCAGCTACTCTGGAGGCTGAGGCAGGAGAACTGCTTGAACCTGGGATGCGGAGGTTGCGGTGAACTGAGATCGCGCCATTGCACTCCAGCCTGGGCAACAAGAGGGAAACTCCATCTCAAGTAAATAAATAAGTAAAAGTACATCAGGCTGGGTGAGGTGGCTCACGTCTGTAATCCCAGCACTTTGGGAGGCTGAGGTGGGCGAATCACCTGAGGTCGGGAGTTCCAGATGAGCCTGACCAACATGGAGAAACCCTGTCTCTATCTACTAAAAATACAAAAAAATTAGCCCAGCACGGTAGCACATGCCTGGAATCCCAGCTACACGGGAGGCTGCAGCAGGAGAATCACTTGAACCTGGGAGGCGGACGTTGCGATGAGCTGAGCAGAGATTGCACGATTGCACTCCAGCCTGGGCAACAAGAGCAAAACTCTGGTCTCAAAAAAAACAACAAAACAAAACAAAACAAAAACAAGGCTGGAAGCAGTGGCTCACACCTGTAATCCCAGCACTTTGGGAGGCCGAGGTGGGTGGATCACGACGTCAGGAGTTCAAGACCAGCCTGGCCAATATGGTGAAACCCCGTCTCTAATAAAAAATACAAAAATTAGCCAGGCGTGGTGGCAGGCGCCTATAATCCCAGCTCTGAAGCAGAGAATTTCTTGAACCCGGGAGGCGGAGGTTGTGGTGAGCCGAGATCACGCCACTGCATTCCAGCCTGGGCGACAGAGCGAGAAGAGATTCTGTCTCAAAAAAAAAAAAAAAAAAAGTCTGATTTATAGGCTGTACGTGGTGGCCCACACCTGCAATTCCAGCACTTTGGGAGGCTGAGGCAGGTGCATCACTTGAGGCCAGGAGTTCCAGATCAGCCTGACCAACATGGTGAAACCCCACCTCTACTACAAATAGAAAAATCAGCCAGGTGTGGTGGCACACACCCGTAGTCCCAGCTACTAGGGAGGCTGAGGTGGGAGGATCCCTTGAGCCTAGGAGGCAGAGGTTGTTGCAGTGAGCCGAGATGGTGCACTCAGCCTGGGCAACGGAGCGAGACTCTATCTCAAAAACAAAATAAAAAGTTGAAATGATAAAAAAGCTTTAAAAAAGGATTTGATTGAGGAGCGCGGTTACCGGATGGGCTGGGTCTATGGTCGCTTCGTGGGCCGCTCTGCCGGCTGGTGCTTTTTTATCAGGGCAAGCTGAGTTCCATGGTAGGGAACTTTTGGCAGAGCTCCCACTATTTGCAATGGATTTTGGATAAACAAGATCTGTTGGAGGAGCGCCAAAAGGATTTAAAGTTTCTCTCGGAAGAAGAATATTGGAAGTTACAAATATTTTTTACAAATGTTATCCAAGCATTAGGTGAACATCGTAAATTAAGACAAGTTATTGCCACTGCTATGGTGTATTGCAAGAGATTCTATGCCAGGTATTCTCTGAAAAGTGTAGATCCTGTATTAATGGCTCCTACATGTGTGTTTTTGGCATCCAAAGTAGAGGAATTTGGAGTAGTTTCAAATACAAGATTGACTGCTGCTGCTACTTCCGTATTAAAAACTAGATTTTCATATGCCTTTCCAGAGGAATTTCCTTATAGGGTGAATCATATATTAGAATGTGAATTCTATCTGTTAGAACTAATGGATCGTTGCTTGATAGTGCATCATCCTAATAGACCTTTGCTCCAGTGTGTGCAGGACATGGGCCAAGAAGACATGTTGCTTCCCCTTGCATGGAGGATAGTGAATGATACCTACAGAACGGATCTTTGCCTACTGTATCCTCCTTTCCTGATAGCTTTAGCTTGCCTACATGTATCCTGTGTTGTACAGCAGAAAGATGCCAGGCAATGGTTTGCTGTGGATACGGAGAAGATTTTGGAAATAATCGGGGTTTTTTTTTTTTTTTTTTTTTTGAGACGGAGTTTCGCTCTTGTTACCCAGACTGGAGTGCAATGGCGCCATCTCGGCTCACCGCAACCTCCGCCTCCTGGGTTCAGGCAATTCTCCTGCCTCAGCCTCCTAAGTAGCTGGGATTACAGGCATGTGCCACCACGCCCAGCTAGTTTTTGTATTTTTAGTAGAGACGGGGTTTCACCATGTTGACCAGGATGGTCTCGATCTCTCGACCTCATGATCCACCCGCCTCGGCCTCCCAAAGTGCTGGGATTACAGGCTTGAGCCACTGCGCCCGGCCAATCGGGGTTATTTTAAAACTATATGAGCAGTGGAAGAATTTCGATGAAAGAAAAGAGATGGCAACTATACTTAGTTAGATGCCAAAACCAAAACCACCTCCAAACAGTGAAGGAGAGCAGGGTCCAGATGGAAGTCAGAACTCTAGCTACAGCCCATCTTAAAACAGTCTGAAGGATTCCGTAGGGGACTGCTTGGAAATAAACCATTGGACAGATTTCAGTAATGTCTTCAGTGGAACACAAATGAAAATGAATAGCTTGTTTCTGTCAAGCATATTGGAAAGTGATTTCATTTTTGCAAAATAAGTTTTTCTTTGGAAAGGTTCTAAGGGGACCTACAGACAGAAATACATAGACATTTCAAAATTAATAGCTTTTGATTAGTATAGTGTTTCTTAATTTGGATAATAGAAATTGTAGCTTTTAATTAAGCCAGGAAACATGAAGCATAATTTGTTTAAAATTCTCTTTGGTCCTTGAGGGACCAAAAAAGGACGTAAAATTTGCAGTCAGTATATGAGGGGTTTTTTCCCCTCCGTTAAGTTTAACGTTAAAATTGTATTTAAGGAATCAAATCTTGGGCCGGGGGCGGTGGCTCAAGCCTGTAATCCCAGCACTTTGGGAGGCCGAGGCGGGTGGATCACGAGGTCGAGAGATCGAGACCATCCCGGTCAACATGGTGAAACCCCGTCTCTACTAAAAATACAAAAAAACTAGCTGGGCGTGGTGGCACGTGCCTGTAATCCCAGCTACTCAGGAGGCTGAGGCAGGAGAATCGCCTGAACCCAGGAGGCGGAGGTTGCGGTGAGCCGAGATCGCGCCATTGCACTCCAGCCTGGGTAACGAGCGAAACTCCGTTTTTTTTTTTTAAAAAAAAAAGGGATCAAATCTTACAAAATCCTGGAAGATTTTGGTAACGATGTTGATAATTTCAGGGAAATTAATCAAGTACCTCTATTGATTTAAAAGTGTATTTTATTCAATAGTTTGGGGATCTTGCCATGGAAGATACAGGCCCAGCCTAGCAGAAAAGAGCAATATGTATAGCATACTTTGACATTTTAAAAGCTGTATTCCATAACCATTTTGAAATGCTGGGCAAAATAAGTTATTTATAATGAATTCACAGCTAATCCGGCATTTTGAAAGCTTAATTGGATTAAAAGACCATAATGTCGGAATTTCCTAAAATTTTAATGTTGATTTTTACTGTGAAAAGTTTTTTATAAGATAAACACACCCTAGTTTAATTTAGTGTCTTGATGTGGATTTACAAATTTGCGACAGGTATTCTGAGCCAGGAACACAATCAGGTTTCAGGCCAGTTTGATACCGGCTGTCCTTAATTCTAATACGAGAGTAGGACATCATACTAAATGTTATGTCAGTGGGACATACTGTCAGTGGGACGTACTGTCTGTGGAACTTGGCAAATTAATATTTTCTTCAGACTTGAATTCAGGAGAGTGACAAAATTTGGAGTCATAGGATATGGATGTACAATTGAAGGATTAAACATTTTTAATCAATTGTGGACAATGGCTTATTAAACGTTGACTTCCTAGTATAAAACTGCAAGAATAAAAGTAAGTTCTCCAGCTTAAAAGAAAAAAAAAAGGAAAGTCACTACAAAATGTGTAGCATAAGGGGTCTTAAACGGTGTAACTATGTGGGTGATTGGACAGAAAAAGAGAGTAATTAACTATACTTTTTTATACGTGGGATAACTTGCTTCAAGTTGTTTGAAAAACTTTTTTGTGTGTTTTTTGGTGAGACAGTCTTGCTCCGTCACCCAGGCTGGAGCGCAGTGGAGCCATCCCAGCTCACTGCAACAACCTCTCCCTCCTGGGTTCAAGCGATTCTCCTGCCTCAGCCTCCTGAGTAGTTGGGATTACCGGTGCGTGCACCACGACGCCCGGCTAATTTTGTGTTTTTATTAGAGGCGGGGTTTCACTCTGTTGGTCAGGCTGGTGTCGAACTCCAGACCTCCAACGATCCACCCGCCTCGGCCTCCCAAAATGCTGGGATTATAGGCGTGAGCCACCGCGCCCGGCCTCAAAAACCCTTCAGTGATTCGCCTTCAGAGTTTGGTGTTTCTGCTGAGAGAACACACGGCCCTGCACGCGACGACCGGTTGCCTGGAATCCCAGCACTTTGGGAGGCTGGGGTGGATCACCTGAGCCCGGGAATTCCAGACAAGCTTTGGCGACAAAGCGAGAGCCCATCTCTACAAAAAAACTTTAAAGATTAGCCGGACATGGTGGTGGCGTGTGCCTGTAGTCCCAGCTACTTGGAGGGCTGAGGCCGGAGGTGGAGGCCGTCGCTGGGGTGGGGAGGTCCAGGCTGCAGTAAGCCCACATCGCGCCACTGCACTCCAGCCTGGGCGACAGAGTGAGACTCTGCCTCAAAAAAAGCCATTACAAATACAAATACAAATAAAGCTACACATTCACTTCTGCGTGGACTCGAGCGTTCAAGACGGGCGTGGCAACCCGATGACAGGAAACCCTGCACGTGCGTGCTCCCAGCTGGCTCCTCCGCAAGGGCCACCAGCCGCGGGAAGCTGCAACCTTGTTCCTCATCGGGCAACGGCTGAGCCTGCGGCTCCACGAGCGTGGACCGTTCCCTGGCCGTGAGCGGGAAGAATACGGGCCCCGCCCCAAGGACTGGGATGGATCTCGCGAGCGGGAGGCGGAGGACAGCGCGTTGCTCCGCGGGGATAAAGCTCCGCAGTTACGGACTCGATGAGTCCCAGAGCCGAGCGCTGGCTGCGCGGCACCGCGGGAGGGAGGGGGCGTGTCTACCGCGGGCCCCCCGGAGAGAGGGGCCGGGGTCGGGGCCGGCGACAGGAACCCGCGCGAGCGCAGAAATGCCCACGGCCGCGCCCTCCCGCGCGCACCACGGCGACACCCGGGCGACCCTCGGAGAGGGCACGGACGTCGCGCCGCGCTCCCGGGGCGCTTCAGTTGCGCCCACGGCCAACGCTCCGGCACCGGCCGACAGGTGCCACGGCCTCTGGACGTTTCTCGCGCCTTCTCGGGAATGGAACGCTTAGAGAAGCACAGGTCCACACCGAAAACACCAGGCGGCAGTGCTCCGTGTGCACGGCTGGAAGGTCTCGCGCGACTCTGCGGCCAGCGTCCCGACCCTCGCCCCGTGGACGCCTGGGAGCCAGAGGGACGCGCCCCGCCCCTCAGGGCCGCAGCGGCGCGCACGCGACGCAGTGGCGCCCATTGGGCAGCAGGGGAGTCCGTCAAGGGCGAGGGGCGGGAATTCCGTTCAATCTGAGCATGGTCATTGGCGACGACAGGCGAAGAGGAGGCCGGATAGGCGGGCGGGGCGGAGCTTCCCGTGGGCGCCTCTGGAGGCTGAGAGGAGCGACGGAAGCGGAGGCGGGGAGCGAGGCAGCTTTGGGCTCCGGCGGGCGGAGGCGAGGGCGCTCCCGCCCCGCCCCGCCCCGCCCCGCCCCGCCCCGCCCCTCTGCCGTCTCGGCCCCGCCTTCGGCGCCTGCGGGTTCTCGGGCGGGCCCTGCGGGGCGGGCAGGCGCCGAGTCCCTTTCCGGCGCAGGCCGGTGGTAGCTGTCCTCCCCCGGGGACTTGGCGGACAGGCGTCCCCCGAGGTCAGGGCCCGGGATGCCCCGTGAGCCGCTCTCGCCTGGGCGCCGCCGGGGGGCCGCCCCGCCCTTTCCACTTCACTGTGCTCCGAAAGCGCCTCGGGGCGCGCCTGGGGGGTCGTGGGGAAGCAGGGCCGACCCCACCCGCCCACCGGGCAGCGTCCAGGGAGAGGTGGGCAGAGCGGGCCCAGTCAGGCGTCCTGGGGGAGGTGGCGTCTGGCGGTGTCTGTGCACCATGCCGCGGGTGGCGCGCGGTGGGGTAACAGAGTCTTCCCCGTCCCTTGACAGCCGTGGCCGCCGGGGAGGGAATCCTGCTCTGCTGCGGGCGGCCGTGGCCAGCGCTGGGGCGCTTCCCGCCAGACTGGCTCCTCGGGGAGGCAGGGAAGGCGAGCCCCGCAGAGAAGGCGGTGGCTTCCCTGGACGGAGCCATCCCTCCCGCCGGTCTTCCCGCGGGAGGGTTCCTGGGAACACCCGCAGGGCTGGTTCCGGCACCCATGGGACCGCGGGGCCCCGCCCAGGGTTTCCGGGAAAGCCCCGCGTTTCCCGCCACCCTTCCCGCGCCAGGAGCGTTCCCAGCCGCTGGCGATGCTGCCCAGGCGGCTCCCCCCAGCGCCACCACCCACCCGAGAGCGGGCCGCTGGGTTGGCCCGTCTGCTTTGGTTCCTCTTTGCTGGGCTCCGAGGCCTGGCGTGACTTCCGCGGCGGCTCTGGGGACCCTGCTGGGTGTCTTTGCCCCGAGGGATTGCATCCGGGCGGAGAAGGCACTTCCCTCCCTCTCGCTTCCTCTTCTCCGCCCCCTTTGGCTCCCTTGTCCTTGCACTCTGCCTTGTCCACTCGTGTGTCCGGCTCTCTGTGTGTGTGACCGGCGCGAGCCCTTAGTCACCTCTCGCGACTATTTTTTCCCCATGTTATCACTTGTCTCTTGACTGTGGTTTGCGGCTTGTGCTTGGTCAGACAGGGGATTTTAGATTTCGTGTCATCTGAGGCTCCAGGCTTTCCTGACGGCTTCTGGGGGCTCTTGTCCGTTTGCTTCCTTCTGGCTCACACCGTGTCTTGCCCCCTGGATGCCGGGCACCAGTTCCGACTGCTGGGTAGCAGGTGACCCCACGTTTTGGTCCTTCCCCACCTGGTGCTCCTCATCCCCCAGGGTTCTGAGGGACCGGCTCTGGGAGGGCTCTCTCTCGGGGAGCCAGGGACTATGGCCCAGGGTCCCTCTCAGGCTGCGGTGAAGGTGTCCACTGGGACCCAGCCATCCTATCTGACTGAGTGAAGAGGCTGTGGCAGGAGGCCTCAGTTCCTCCCCACCGGGCCTCCCCACGGGGCTGCTGGGCTTCTCGCAGACCTGCAATCCAATCGAACCAGCAGGAGAGGGCGCCCCAGACCCGGCCACAGTCTGTGTATGACCTGGTATCCTAAGGGCCTCGCCTCACCTCCTCTCTCCTCTGTGTTTTTCAGTGGTCTCACGGGTCCACCCTGGAGCGTGCTGGGGAGGGCGCCA